ACTCCTAAGAAATGATGTGTTTGGTTTCAGAATAGTTAATGTGGAGCCCTTCTTTCTAAAAATAATTAGGTAATCTTTCTTGTCATTCTCTGCACAACACAGAATTTTAGCCTTCTGATTCTGTAGAGAATGGGGATATAAAGAGATGGCCAGAAAGGATGTTAATTAGGAACAACCTTAAAAAAAAAAAAGTGTTGAAGAAAGCTTTGTTTTATCTCTATGGACATATCATCTGATCTATCAAAAGACCTTCCTGTCACTGACTCCTAAAATAATATTCAAGTTCAGGGTCTGTCAAATTGGGGCTATATCTGGCACTCCAACAGTTTCACCTGGAACTGATTACTCAAAATAGAAGCACTATCTAATTGTGTCATTATCTTATTATTCCTGAGAGAATTACTCATGTGTCTACAGTGGGTGATAGAGTGTAAGGGCCTCCCCAGAGGTGCAGTGGTTGAAGGCCACGCTGCAAAGCTGGCCGCAGCCTCTGCAGTGCCGGTTCGATTCCCCGCCCCCGCTGGCCAGGGAGAACCCCACATGGTGCAGCAAACCTCTCCTACCTCGCCCGCTGCTCCCCTCAGTCGTGTCTTTGGTCCATCTGCCTGTTCTGCTCCCTGCTCTGGCTCTGGTGAATTCTCTCACCCTCCTGTGCTTCTGACCTCTACCCCAGTTCTTATATAAAATAAATCTTAAAAAAAAAAAAGAGTGTACACTAATGGTAGAGCCTCACCTTAAGTGGCTGACACTAGGTAATCATGCCTAAAGCCTGCATATTGAGCTGAAAGGTCCAGATTGCAATTTGCTATTCAAAAGTGTTTTATGAGTGGTTTCCAGAGGGAGAGAGATCTTTTGGGAGGATCTTCTGTGTGAGACAGTGATGACCTAAGCAAAGGTAATGGGAGTGGCAGAAGGAGAAAGGTTTGTATTAGATTCAGAGACATGGTCATTTATTGAACATGAGGATGAAAAAGAATGAGATGCTCAGCGATGAGACCTCATTTATGACTTGGGAAACCCTGGATGAATAATTCCAATGCCCAGTGAGGCAAAGAACACAGGGCAGGGTAGTTTAAAAAGGAGTTTGCTGCATGTTGTGTTTAAGGAACTTACAGAACATCAGAATGGGGATAGCCTTTCAGCAGAGAACACATACACAAACTTAGAGCTCAGGAAGGAGCCTAGCCTGGAAATACAGAAGTGAGCCCCATCTTGATACAGTTTTGACTCGAAGCCTTAGAGCAGGGTTCTAGTTGTCGCTGCTTCAGTCACTGTCTTACAGCAAATGCAGTGTTATGGATCCTTCTAGACTGTGAGTTAGCTATGGGATTCAAGATATTGACTGTCACCAACTGCCCAATTAAGCAAGCTCACAAGTTCCCAGTCCTCTTTCCCCCTCTACATGGACTCATGCCTGAATCCTGGATAAATCAGAGACTAAGGGTAAAAACTGAAACTATTGTTTCACCAAAAACTTGTATAAAACACTGAGGTAGTCACCCCCACCTATGAGAATTTCAAAAACGACCTTTCACAGACTAGTGAATACCACATGGTTTCAGCACCACAAGGCCTACTGAGAAACAGCAGCAGCAGGCAGACAGGTATGTGGCAATGCCCCCACAGAAGCACTAAGCTGGTGAGCTACCTGCAGAAAATCCTTAGTGACCTACAAAGTGGAAGAAGGGCCATGTCTGCTGAAATTAGCAATGGCATCTAGACAAAAGCAGCACCACCCACATGGCAGTTACCTTAGGACTCTGCAGCAGGGGTCCTGTAATAGCATATAGGCAGTTGTGGTAACTACCATGTCAACTAAAAGGAAGGGGTGAACTCCTTTAACCAGAAAATCCACTTAACCAGAACCCCATTCCCTAGCATTCTGCTAGACCATATTTTATCCCATGTGTACATTTAGAAGGGTCTGTGAGTGAGGCAGCCTGTGATCCCCTCCCATGCTACTGATGTGTGCAATGGCAGGAGGAGGCTGTCTCTGTCCCGCACCCATAGGACAAATGCTAGAGAGATATGTGGCATAAATCTTTCAATAGCTAAATAAATCAGCCTGCATCCATCTGAATGAAATACCATGCATCAAATAAAAAAAAATGATATAGTCTACAGATATAGTGATCTACAGATCACAGAGATGTTTGTAATATAGAGCAAGAATGTAAAAGCAGATTGTGGAGGCAATGACAACGTGTGACTGTAAATTACACTTATATACATAAATACATAAAATGCTATTTATAGAGGCATCCAACATGTCTGTGTGTGTGTGTGTGTGTGTGTGTATACATGGAGATATAAAATCAAAAATTCTCTACACAGAATGGTATTTTATTATAATTACTGATTACTTCCATTGTGTTTATCTCTTTGCTTAATTTTTTTTCAAATTTCTCTAAAGTGAAATGGTATTGTTTAATATTTAAACAATGAATAGGGAAGCACAAGAGAATATCTGTGTTAAAAAACAGCTAACTTGAAGTGATGAGGGTAAAGTATGCCCTGCCAGGCCCTGGGCATTGTGTTTGGGAGTTCTAGAAGAAGCCCACAATTGGTGCCCAGTGTTTGTGAAATGAATGATTGATTATACCAGGTCATTCTATCACAAGTCTCTAGTCTAGCAATATCAATGTCACTCTCATTTTAGACCCACTATATTAGCAAGGTACATTCATAAATATATTCATTCCATTAGAGTCACACCCAACTAATTGCTTTCAAATCCAACAGTTACCACAGGTTCATCTGAATCCTCTCATTTTAACTTTCTTCTTCTTCCCCTTACCCCTATGTCCCCTCTTATTAATTTGGATTGGAAAATAATTGGCCACAAATGCCTGGTACCACATAATGGTTAGGAAGACAGTTTAGTTATATGAAATTGAAAGTCAAAAAAAAAAAAATTTAAAAATCACCAGTAATTTTCCACAAACCTGGCCGCAGCCTCCTTTGTTGAGAAATAGCATCAAAAGCAACCACAAGATCAATCCTCTTTCTTCGAAGATACTGATTGCACTGTGTGTGTGAGAGATGATCAGACCCTTCCCAAATTCTTCCTGACTTGACAGCCTGTGTGTGTGCTGTATGTCTTGTGTGTGTGTGTGTGTGTGTGTGTGGTATGAAGTGATGTATGTGGTATGGCATGTAGGGAGGAGGTGTGATATGTGTGAGGTATGTATATATGATTTGTGTGTTTGTTGGGAAAGAGTAGCATTAAGTGGTGTATGTGTTTTGTGTTTTGTGTGTGGTGTGTATGTGTGCATGTGGTGTGTGTATGTTGAGTGTTTATCTTTGTGTGGTGGTGGGGGCAGTAGGGTTGTATATGCATTAGATACCGCATGAGTCTGATTAAGTTTGTGTAATTAAATGGCTAGAATTTTGGGTCCACCTCAGAAGGTTCAAGAACATATTAAAATATTGGGGATGTTTAATATTTAGTAATTCAATCAGCTCAGCCTTTTTTCTAACAACTGCTAACTTCTTACACACAGTTTATTCTGAAGAAGATCTTTAGATCATTTGCTTTAGTGCACTCATTTTACAAATGAGAGAACTACAACCTAAAGGGGAAAGGGACTGCCTGATTTCACACAGAGCTGGCAGCCTGCCCATTAGTATGGTGAACAAGAGCTGCCCTTCAGAGACAACATCCATATGCTTCTGAATAAAGCCAAGGACATCACTGAGCATCCTCTCTAGACAATGCATTCCCCTCTGAGTCCTTCAGCAACCAGATTTCTCTTATTGTTCAGCATTAAAAACCCTGTGGAGAGTAGCCATCTGAGGCCTGAAGGCCTGGTTGAGATCCATTTGCTAAATGAGGGCATTATCTGCAAAGAAAGACTCCCCATCAAAGGTATGCTAATGACAAGTAGAGGGTTGGAAAGCCAAGAAGGGATCCTGCTAACTTGTGAATAAAAGGAAACCTGATATAATAATGCCCCAAAAGAGAGCATTATTATATCGATGCTCCCAAGGAGAGGGAGCATCAGACTGGCCAGCCAGAGCCCAACCCATTGTGCATGGAGTCAAGATTCCTGCCCATTAGTACACTAATGACACTCTATGCTCACAGTCTCCTCATCCAGGCTCCCAGGAGCATCCCCATCATGCCATTCTGTCCCACATCTCTATGCCTTTTCCTCCTCTACTGTGTACAGTTTTCCTACATGACCCATCTGCTGGACTCCTTTTCCTTGAAAATACAGCTCTACTATCATTCTCTTGAGAGACGATCTCCCCTGAATCAGCACCTCTTCTCCTTCCAGCCATATGCCCCTTTTCACAGCCTACATATGGGTTTTGTGGCATCATTTTGCATTTCTGGGTCCCTAACTAAACGAGAGTTCCCTGAAGGAAGGACTCACCCTTTTCATCTCCAAAACACAAGCCTTAGATCTCTAGAAAATGGTAGCTGTCCACAGATAAATGAATAGATTTCTAGAAAATGTATTTGTTATCTATTACAAAATAGCAAATCACTACAAATTTAACAGCTTGAAACAATACACATTTATTATCACACAGTTCCTGTAGGTCAGAAGTGCTGGCAAAGTTTAACCATTTCCTCTACTTAGGGTCCACAAGACTAAAATCCACATGTGTCATTCTAGACCACATTCTCACCTGGAGAGAAACTGGGGCAGAGCTGACTGATTTCAAACTCAGTTGGTTTGTTGATGGAATTCATTTCCCTGTGGTTTTAGGACTGAGGTTCCAGTTCCTTGCTGGATGTCAGATGGAAGTTATGTCCCTTGCCAGCAGGACTTCCCAAGATGACTTCTTGTGTCATTAGCCAAGAAGGAGAGTAGATAATGTAACATAGTCATTGAAGTGACACCTTTCACCTTTGTCATATTTTATCAGTTAGAACCAAATGAAGGTTCCTCACATGCAAGAGAAGGGGAGCATACTTAGACAGGAAGGCAGGAATTGTTGGGGACTATCCTAGAGTCTGTCCACCATGAAAGAATAGAGTGAATCTTTCTGGTAAATTCTTTACCTTGCTATCATTTCCCTTTTACTCCTCCTTTGTATTCTTTCTTGCAGGTGGCTTTGCTGCTGTTGGCAGATTGCTTCTGGAAGAAGATTCAGCTCCAGTGGCCCCAGGTCCTAGGAAAAGAGAATCCATTCAACCCCCAGATTGAACAGGTGTTTGGAGATCAAGGAGGACACTGAGTCTCTTAGGGACATGCACTCCTGGAGAACTCAGGAAAACAGGAGTTTGGGTAAATTCATTCAACAAGCAGTATGGGAACTGTGATGCCACAGGCCCTCAGGTCCCCTTTAAAGGCTTTTTTTTAAAGTGCTTTTCCCTCATTCTAGAGAATATCTGATGACCATGTGAGTCTGTGTGCTTCTGACAATTTTTTTTCTCCTGAATATTTTCTTATATTCTTTGGTTGCATAATCTTATTGTCTATTCCAATGATAATAATTCCAAATATAATAATAACATTCCAATAATGATATCATTGTCTATAGAAAAATAAAATGTACTGTTTATTATTGATAATTTTGAAGTTTCTTTCAGGTTTACAACTGGTAAAGTCAGGTAAATTTTTAGGATTGTTTTCACATTGGGAAGATTTCTATCAAATTTCTTCTGTATGAGCACTAAGAAAGGCACAACCCCTATCTGTAGTGCTGTCAAAGCTTTGTGTACATAGAAATTCTGGTCACACTATTCTAATTGGGTGTCCACTCCCTTGCCCACCTCTGATTGCAACTCATATTAAGGGGTCAGTCTGTGTAAGCCTATTCCCACCTCAGGCAGCCACACCCCATGTCCAAGTGAGCACATCTTCCTAATTTCTGCCTTTAGGAGCTTGCTTGGCACAACTCAGTGTACTAGGTATTGACAATTAAATAAACCAGGCTTTTCCTTTGGTGGTCAGTTTGGGGAGGCATTCTTTGTGCTCTTCAGGAATCTCTGTAGAATCAGCCCCTTTCCCTCATAACAACAACCACGTTTAACAGTAGTTCCTCCCTCCCAGTGTCACCCTCAATCCCTCATTCCTGCTTCCTGAGGTGGTTTCCCCAATAAACACCTGCATCCAAATCTTTGTTTCAATAAGGAAAAAATTAATATGGTGGTGTATGTGTAATTGCTTATGCTTTATTACTGAATATATTCCTGATAGGGAGATACTTCTGTTTCCACCAGGTACCAAAAAGAAGCCAATCTCCCCCTAAGTGTACATATCTGGTGATTCAAAGGAATTGCCACAGGCTGGCATCTGGCTCTGGCTTCATGCTCTTTTCCTCCATGACCCACACACTGTTGGTGCCAGGCATATAGGACACTTTCATAGTGTCATTTGGCCCCTGACTTTGCACCTTTGTCATGATGCTGGTGGTCAATAGGAGAGTATCTGGAAGCCCATCCTACACAAGGATGGTAGATATAACCTAACCATGCACTGGAATGACTGAAACCATAACCATATATCAACCTCAACCCAAGGTCAATGATCTTGGCCCTATGGCTACAAAGCCCTATGGCTACTCGAGAATCTCAGGATATTAGGGAAAAATACAACAGAGAGAAAGCAATTATGCTTAAAATATCTCATTTTTTTTGCAAATTTTAGAAAGTTTGGGACCATGTGAATGCATTGTTGGGGCCCTTCCAGGGTCTTGGATGGGATCATAAAACTTAATCTTTATTAGACTTATGATAAATCCACCTCTGCTCACAAGATTAATTTGCCAGGTTGTGAAGCTTCAGTTTTCAGTCAATACACTTATAATGTTGTCAATCCATTCATTTCTGTCACATGGATGGCAGCTGTGTTCAGCATGACCAGCACATGTCCCCAGAAGGGGAATTAGCAGAGGATCAACACAGCATCAGGAGGCCACCTATTTGCAGTAAGAAATACAAACTAGAAGAATGAATTGCAGAGTGTGAGTCTTGGAAAGCTGGTCGTGTTGGAACTTGGGTGATAAATATCCCACTACTATATTGTCACTTGCTTCTCCTACTTATCAGACAAAAGGCCTGTCTTGTTCTTCATTATTAAATGGGGTCCCTTGCTTTCCACATGAGTAATTATCAAAAACTTCTATTTCCTCCTACCTCTGGGCACTTTCTTTGTAGATTAGAGCCTTTTGGGGCAGAACCCAGTTGGAAAAAAATATGTTCAGGTCCCCCAGCAAAAAAGATCAGCTAAATATCTTTATATGAGACTTGCATTGATACAAAACATACAGGACCAGCTTCCCCACCCCACTCTCTCACCAAGTTAATCCTTCTCTAGAAGGATCATTCACTCCTTGGGTCCATAGGGACACGCCAGCAGAACTAAGAATGCTTATGAACTTCAATGGGAAAAAGATTATCCTTTAGATAAAATTTAACATTTTCTTTTATTATAATTGTAGACCACAAAATATAGCTAGTTTGGCACAAATATTTTCATATCATATTACATAAACTGCAGATATAATCAGTTCTCATTGCTCATGCAATGATCTACAAAGTCACCTTGAACACTGAATTAGCATGTACTGAAGCATAGACCCTCGGGGGAAAGAGGGTTAGGTTCCCATGAGCCTCTGGTCACAACAATTTCATCAACCAACATATATATAACCTTGTTTTGTGTATGGTTTTTGTTTAAACATAACATTTATTTAATTTATGATTGATTCATTAACATCAAGCTCGCTGCTGACAGTGCCCTTACTCACACCTGAATGAAGCTCATTTACACACGTATTATTTCCACAGGGTGCATCACAGTCTCTTGTACTTCAATGCTACACATAGGAGTCACTTTATTTTTTTAAAGATTTATTTATTTATGCATACATGAGCTGGGGGTACAGGCCAGAGGTACAGGGGGGTGAGAGTATTCATGAGAGAGAGAGTGGGGAACAGAACAGGCAGATCAACTGAGGTACACTGCTGAGGAGAGCAGGGGGTGAGACAGGAGAGGTCTGCCGTGCCATGTGGGTTGCTCCCTGGCCAGTTTGGATCAAACTCGTGCTGCAGAGACTGCAGATTGCTTCGTTGTGCTGTGCTTAACCCCTTGCACCACCAGGGAAGCCCAGGAGTCATTTTAAACATAGAAATCACCCACAAAAAGAATAAAAATACCCCATGTGTGTCACTAAATGGCATGAAAGTTGAAACAAGAAAGCAGAACTTCACCTCAGCAAGGAAAGTGTATGTCAGATGACACATTTTTCACTGCTGTAATGCCCACAAAAGTGCCTTGAGCATTGGTTTGGGGGGTACAAATAAATTCTAGCAAGTTTTCAAATTCACATAGAATTCATGAATAATGAGGATCAACTCTATCTTGAATAACAAGTATGGTCATCAACACATTGAAACAACTATAAATTATTAGATCTCTTCTTTGCTTTTAAGAATGTTAACCCTAGTAGGAGTCCCAGGCTTCCCCAACCTGCCAAGGAGGTACATGGCACTAAAAGGTTATGTGCTCTGGGGAGTAGTGCTTTGAGACAAAAGAACTCCACAAAAAAGTCTGGTAGCACAACATGATTTATCTGCTTCCTGGAAAGGACTGGGTGGAAGTTCTGCAGTAAAGAAATGTGTTTGGCTCATCAGTTACCCAACATTTTTGACCCAGAGTCCTTTACCGGTATGAGAGCTATTAACACCCCAGGGGCGTCATGCTCTGCAGAACCACCACAGGAGATGATGTGGGGAGGAATTAGCCTCTGTCTGCATCACTCACTGGCAGTGTCAGGAGAGGAATCCCTCAGGTATATTAAGACCAGAAACTCTACCTCCCATCTTTTATATGAGGCAAGATGTCTTTGGAATCCTTCTCACTGCAGCAACAGCCTTCCTAGTAGAAATACAAATGACAAAGTCAGCACCTCTCCTGGGCCCTGAGATGCAGGGCATATTCACTGTGCTGCATGGATTTCCTGATGAATGGATGCATCAATATGCTATTAACATGTCAGTTTCTCATTAAATCTAAGTACAGAATCCATGTTTGCCCGGCAGGATGAACTCCTCTAATCTGATCTGGCAGAGGTTCTAGCATAAATATTCATACAAGCTGGGGCTCTTTTAATCTGGTCCTTTGCCTGGGGTAAAGAGGGGGTAGGTAGAGGTTGCTTTTAAATCATGTTTTCTGGGTCACTTCTTAAAACCACAGTATCTAGCAATAATGGCCTCATCATCATGAATCTGTCATTAAGGAGGATTACACTTCTGAAGCTCTTGGATGGATGGAAATACAGAGGAGAAATAAAGAGCACACAATGAGGCTTGCTAAAGATTTCTTTGGGCATTGTGCTCCTGGCTGACTGCTTTGTTTATAATTAATTACATCGTGCTTTTACAGGAACCCTTTCAGCCTCAGAGTGCTGCAGATATTACTCACACATTCACAAAGCTGCGGTCAATAAGCTGCAACAGACGAGTGAGCAGGAGCACACGCCAAGGGCTTCCAGGACAACTTCAGACCCTGGGGATTTTCCATCTCACCTGAGGATGAGATGCGCACTTTACACAGGCTCAGAAAAAGCCCCTGGGTGTTAATATTTTCACAGTGATCTCCACACTGTAGCTCTGTAAATATCAGCCAGAGTCTGCACATTGGGGGAGGCTGCTAGAACAACAGAGGGGTTTTGAAGGTTTGTAGGTGGAGACTCCAGGTTAATATAACTCTGGTGGAACAACAAAACTCTGTCCTGGAAGACACATCACAACACAGTTAGTAAGAACTTCAAGAAGGTACAGGTTTGGGAGACTCTCCTCGGGTTTGAATTTTGTTTAAGCTTCTGGTTCTCAATTACCTTCTCTTTAAATAGGGAGCAATAATACAGTCGTGTGTTGCTTAACAACAGGGATACATTCTGAAAAATGTGATATTAGGTGATTTTTGTCCAAACATCATAGAGTGTACTTACTCATACCTAGATGGTCTAGCCTACTAAAACCAAGGCTATGTGGTGATACATTGGAACCACCATCATCTGTGTGGGCCGTTGTTGACCTAAATGTTAGGTGCTATTTCCCAGCACTATGGTGAGCATTAACAAGAGGTGATGTTTATAGAGGGCTAACTGGCATATATTTTCTCCCTTAACCCTTGTAACAACTATTTAAGGCAAGTCTGTCA